TTTTCTGCAAGGTAGGTATGTTGAACTGTTTCCTGAATCCGCCCGCGCTCGCAACTTTGTTGTTGGGTAGGTATATTACTGAAAGCTCGTGCTAGTAATAAATCAAAACTTATTACGAGCAAAGAGAGTTTCGACCATATGAGTCATAAAGGTGGACAACCAAAGCTGTAAAACGGCTTCCATTTTTATGCGAGAAATATCGATTTTAGATCTTATTTATGGGGGTAGACTTCAAACCCATATAGGCCAAATAATAAGGTGTCTTAGATATAACACAGAAAATTACAAAATCTGTAAAACTCACATCCTAAGCCGGAAGCCAACAGTCGAACTACATTTTTGTACACAGTCAGACTTGAAGTGAAAATTGTTTACCAGTATGGCCTTTTGTCTTGACTTTTTGATCACCATGCGGCGATTTTGTCTTGATGTAGATAATTTTCCTTATTCTCATTATATTAGGTGAGCGATGTACAGTGGTTACCAAAAAAGTATTGGCGCGCCCATTTCCTTGAACCTCAATAATGAAAAGATGAATTTTTTGTTAGTACATGAATTTGAAAGCTAACATCCGAATAGTAATTTTTGACGACAATAGACTGAGTAAATTGAAAATAACACAATAATAACAGGAATTATGATGTTTGAGGATCATAGAAGCATTTGCACACTAAAAGAAAAAACAGACAAGTAAATAAGTTTCAACAAAATTTATTTGCAGCTAGTACTTTGTTATCACACTGTTTGAATCCATTACGGCCTGTAGCTATCGTGATGTGGAATTTTTAAGTTATTTCTGGTACAATCTGGTTTTATTTCTGCATTATACAGAAGTAGCTTCCGGTTCGCGGAAATTACAAATTTCGGGCCTCCAGGTCTAGCAAATGTTTAACGGGATTGATACTCAGGGGCTGGAGGATTGTGCAGGTACATTGCAAAGTAACCATTCCTTTTAGTGGCGGTGTGTTGATGGCCATTATCCTAGTGGAAGATGTTGCATTGATTTCCATTTTTTCAGCACTACTGTTAAAATTATTGCGCAAAATGTCAATATACTTGTCTGCAGTCACAATGTCAACACCATTCCACAACATGCAAACCTAGACTTAAATGCTTCCACCAACATGTTTTACTGATGTGGTGACATGTCTCATTTCAAATTAGTAGTAAGTGCAAGGTTTTCTTAATACATATTTGCGACCATCATAGCCAAAATCTTGAAGATTAAAGTAAGTTCATGCATGTCGTGGAGATGTGTTGGAAAGCTAAGCTTCATCGAAAGCACTTTAAATGAAGACAAGTTTGTTGACATTCTGCGCTATAACTATACGTATATAACAGCAGATCTGAAAAAATGGAGATCATAGATACATTCATATTTCAGCAGGATAACGTTCCTCAGCAAACTGCTACTTAGTAAATAGTTACTTTGTAATGTTCATACACAACTCACAACTCTACCGCAATCCGCGGAAATCAATCCCACTAAGCATTTGCAGTACTAAAAGGTAAAATTTCTGCTATACGAGAGCCTCTACTCGTACATGTTTTCATGTAAAAAATGGGACCAAATTGGGTCAGAACTAACTCGGCATCTCATTGCCACCATGGCTTCAGGTCATAATTGATGAAAAAGATATAATAACAAAGTACTAACTGTAAATACATTTTGTTAACACGGATTTGCTTGTTTTTTTTAGTGTGCACACATTTTTTACTGCAGTTGTGGAATACCTCAGGGATATCCAGTTCTGCTTCCGCGAGGCGAAACTTGAGATATCTCCGCATGAACTCGCTCAGTTACATGCTGCTAGAATATATCCGCTCATCTCTGACCGTTCGCGATCAAACCGATAGTTCGAATGGGAGCTAGGTTGTTTAATCGCGGCTGGCCAGAGATGAGCGGATGTGTTCAGGCAGCGCGTAGCTGAGCGAGTTTGACCACACTCGGTGGCGCAGACCGTCTGTTACGCGGAGGTATAGAGAAGTCGATGAGAAAAAGATAGGTTTGACAAAAGGAGACCCATTTTTCACATCTTCATCACGTTTGACGTATATTGACGTGGAGAGCTGACCAACTTTTAGTCTGATCATATTAGACGAAAATACCATTGGTTTGTAATGAAAGTGGTTCAAAGGGGTATTCGAAACCAGTACGCATAGAATGGGTACATCAATTTTTGTGGGAAAACTTTTTATTCGACAACAAAGAATGAGAAAACGTGTTTTTTGGGATTCAATCGAAAGTGTTGCCAGGAACAAAAAAACTCTGCATATAAGATTTTTAGATATTTATGAGACCTACAAAATGAGACCTCACGTAAAAAGATTCGACTAATAGCGAAAAAGTTATGGCCGAAAACCGACGCATACTGCAGGTCTTGGCACTTGTTGGTAATTCGTTGATGGTTTCTCGCAGATGTCTGAAATTTTTCAAATTCGTAGGACACGTACCACAACAAAATTGGAGTAGATTAGTCAAGTAGTTTTTGAGAATTTCCAAGTGTTTGGCCCAAAACACCTGTCTTCCGGCCATCATTACTAGTTTATTGAGCAGCATACAGGGTTAGTTCAACGGGCATTTTATAGCAAAATACACTAGGTGACCCTGCTGATATGAATAGCAAACCATTCCGGAAGATAAATGTTATTTTTATGCAAAAAATGATGGGTTACGTTTTTCTTCTAAACAAATCCAAACATCTTGTGTTTGTGAGTAATTCGCAACAAAATATGATAGACACACCCGCTTTGTTTTAAAATGTATAGTTACGTATGTTTCTCGAATTCCTTGGTGGCGGTCGTCATCGCAGTCGCGGTAGCGGTCGTGCTCGCAGTCGTGGTCGCAGTCGCGGTCGTGGTCGTGGTTGCAGTCGTGGTCGCTGTTGCGGTTGCGGTCGCGGTCGTTGTCGCGGTTGCGGTCACAACCACGACCACGATTTTGTTTAGAAGGAAAAACGTAACCTTCGTTTTTCGTATAAAAATAACACTTATCTTTCGGAATGGTTTGGGATTCTTATCGGCAAGGTGAACACTTGTATTTCGCTACTAAATGCTTGTTGAACGAGCCCTGTATATTGCTCAATAAACTAGTAGTGATGGCCGGAAAACAGGTGTTTTGGGATAAGCATTTAGAAATGATCAGAAAACTACTTGACCAATATACTCCAATTTTGTTGTTGTTATTTAGAAGTATGAATCATACGGATTTAGAGAATTTCGAGTAGTTGCCTGAAATTCTCATCGCATTAGCAACAAGTGCCACAACCTGCACTTTGCCTCGTTTTTCGGCCATAACATTTTTGATATTAGTCGGATCGTTTCACGTGTGTTCTCATTCTGTAGGTCTCATAAATATCTAAAAATCTTATATTTAATGTTTTTCCGTTCCTGTTAACAGTTTCCATTGAATCCCAAATAACACGTTTTCTCATTCTTTGTTGTCAAATAAAAAGTTTTCCCACAAGAATTGGTGTACCCATTTTATGCGTCCGTCCTTTAAATACCCCCTGGAACAACTTGCACCAATAAAACCAGACTTTACAATTATTTCTGAAAAATTTGCTAATATGATTAGACTGTCAGATTATAATCAGACATGACTCCTAACCTAACTACCACCCTTTACTTGGCATCGCATCAGAAGGTATTACTCAGCCTTTGGCGAGGCTAATAATGATTCTGATAATATTGGGGTAAGAGTTTAACATTGGAATGGATGCTTGTTTGGCTGATATTTAATTTTGAGGTCCAAAATGTTTGTTTCTTCTGTCACCCATCGTTAGATAAAGGTGGTCACATTAAATGGTCCGACAAATCAAAGCACAGCAAAATTGTTATAATCCTTTTAGTAATACAACGCTTGCATTCATTCGTTGGGTGCAAAAGTAAGCTCTTATAGATTCTTTCCCATTGCCACCAATTTACTTCCGAATTTCCCGGCCGATTCCCGGGAGTTCTTTATTTCCTGTAAAAGTCTCAGCGGCATTGATGGACTGCCTTGAATTTGGAGTGGCCACTGAAAGTCATGTTTTTCATTCTGCACCGTCTCGTCTTGAACAGCCTGTGATTTATCGCCCAGCTTGTTATGATTAATACATCCTGTCTGGTGCGACGTTAATTCCACTGGTGGTGGTGGCCAGGTGCTGGCTGGCAAGATACATTTTAACTTGAACTAAATCCAACACAGGGTTGGAGCGAGAATGGACTCTGGATTGTAGTTATAATGCTTCGAGACTTACCATCGGTTCTTGTCTGTCTATGTGTCTGTCGATCAATTTATCAGTCTGTGCGCTATTATTGAGCCTCCGTATAATTCCAAAAGTACCGCTCGAATTTGGACGAAATTTTGACACATTTTGGTAAATGTGTCTCAATATTTTAGCGTAACTATGGTATATATGCAACAACAGAAAAGAGGAAATAATCTATAATAGGATTACAGAATGATGATTAAAAAAATCACAAACGAGGTGGAAACTTCAAGAGTTTCTTAATGTATCAGTAGATGAGAACTTGGTTGAAGAAAACCGAAGATTAAGGCAGAACAAAATAGTTACTTATCTAACAAGTGCGGAAAGTGGTTCTTTTTTCTGAGTTCGGGCAAGCCGTCAAGGGCGGAAAATACAGTTTCCGCAAGTGTTAGGTATAACACTTTTTCTAACTGCTCAGCGCGAGAAAATAATTAGCTCGGAATTTTAAATACGTACTATGTTTTATTAGAAATTTAATAATTGTAAAATCAATATCATCAGCAACAGCAACATCAACAATTCATTTATAATACCTAATTACTAACAATATTAAAAGTAAAACAACAGTTATTTGGATTATGAAGACTTGTAAGCGTTCTCTAAGCAGAACTAGCGCTGCCGGCGTTGGTTTCTCTAAAATTTCGTGTTCTCTAGAAAGTCCTGCAGAAATGTGAGTTTTTTTTCAGGACCTTCTTGAAATAATCCTTCTTATTTTTTAACGATTAGGCTAATACCCTCCAGCCACAGATGCAGATTTCGAGCCGCCGTGTCATTTGATGTCGGAGATATCACTATCCACACCAGAGTCTGCCAACATTGTGGATAGAGGATCTCTTAAAACTAGGTCCGGTCTAAAGCTCAGGATTGGGTCCCAAACAACCGGCGATTTCAGCGAGTATTTTCCCAACGGTATTGACCCAGACGCATTAAGTGGTAAATACCTGGTATTTATATTGTATGAAAAATCTACGATGTGGTGTGGACATATTTGCGGTACAGCTCTTAATATTTAACACTAGCGCAGTTGCTGGCACGCTAACGCTATGCAAAATATTGCACGTTGATGTCTTTATTTAAAACCTCACGTAGCGCAGTTGCTGGTATGCTAATGCAATGCTAGCGATAACTTTATCCCTATCTCTAATCATTTTTTATCCTTTGGCATCTTTGATCTGGTATCTGGTATCAGGTATCTGGTATCTGGTATTTGGTATCTGGTGTCTGGTGTCTGGTATCTGGTATCCGGTGTCTGGTATCTGATGTCTAGAATCTGGTATCTGGTGTCTGGTATCTGGTATTTGGTATCTGTTATCTCTTTATCTCGTATCTGGTATCAGGTATCTGGTATCTGGTATCTGGTATTTGGTATCTGGTATCTGGTGTCTGGTATCTGGTATCTGGTATCCGGTGTCTGGTATCTGATGTCTGGTATCTGGTATCTGGTGTCTGGTGTCTGGTATCTGGTGTCTGGTATCTGGTATCTGGTGTCTGGTATCTGGAATCTGGTATTTGGTATCTGTTATCTCTTTATCTGGTATCTGGTGTCTGGTATCTGATATCTGGTGTCTGGTATCTGGTATCTGGTGTGTGGTATCTGGTATCTGGTGTCTGGGATCTGGTGTCTGGTGTCTGTTGTCTGGTGTCTGGTATCTGGTGTCTGGTGTCTGATGTCTGGTGTTTGGTATCTGGTATCTGGTGTCTGGTATCAGGTATCTGGTATCTGGTATCTGGTATCTGGTATCTGGTGTCTGGTATCTGGTATCTGGTATCTGGTGTCTAGTGTCTGGTGTCTGGTATCTGGTATCAGGTATCTGGTATCTGGTACTTGGTATTTGGTATCTGATATCTGGTGTCTGGTATCCGGTATCTGGTATCTGGTGTCTGGTATCTGGTATCTGGTATCTGGTATCTGGTGTCTGGTATCTGCTATCTGGTATCTCGTATGTGGTGTCTGGTATCTGGTGTCTGGTATCTGGTATTTGGTATCTATTATCTCTTTATCTGGTATCTGGTATCTGCTATCTGGTGTCTGGTATCTGGTGTCTGGTGTCTGGTGTCTGGTATATGGTATCTGGTATCTGGTGCCTAGTGTCTGGTGTCTGGTATCTGGTGTCTGGTATCTAGTATCTGGTATCTGGTGTCTGGTGTCTGGTATCTGGTATCTGGTATGTGGATCTGGTATCTGGTATCAGGTGTCTAGTATCTGGTATCTGATATCTGGTGTCTGGTGTCTGGTATCTGGTGTCTGGTATCTGGTATCTGGTATCTCGTATGTGGTGTCTGGTATCTGGTGTCTGGTGTGTGGTATCTGGTATCTAGTATTTGGTATTTGGTATCTGTTATATTTTTATCTGGTATCTGGTATCTCGTTTCTGGTATCTGCTATCTGGTATCTGGTGTCTGGTATCTGGTGTCTGGTATCTAGTATCTGGTATCTGGTATCTGGTATCTGGTATGTGGATCTGGTATCTGGTTTCTGGTATCTGGTATCCGGTGTCTAGTATCTGGTATGTGGATCTGGTATCTGGTTTCTGGTATCTGGTATCTGGTGTCTGGTATCTGGTGTCTGGTATCTGGTATCCGGTGTCTGGTATCTGGTGTCTGGTATCTGGTATCTGGTTTCTGGTATCTGGTATCTGGTATCTGGTACCTGTCATCTTTTATAAGTTTTCATTTTTCGTTTTCCGTTTTCCGTTTTTCATTTTTCGTTTTTGGTTTTTCGTTTTTCATTTTTCATTTTTCATTTTTCGTTTTTCATTTTTCATTCTTCATATTTCATTTTTCATATTTCATTTTTCATTTTGCATTTTTCATTATTCATTCATTTTTCATTTTTCAATGTCGCATGTGTCACCATTAATAGCACACAATGGCATTATAAAATCTTCGATATAGCATTAATGCCCTCTATAAAATTGTATGACAAACTCAGATTTATGTGAGGAGCCGGCAACGTCGCAATTGTCACCATAAATATCACACAATGGCATTATAAAATCTTCGATATAGCATTAATGCCCTCTATAAAATTTTATGACAAACTCAGATTTATGTGAGGAGCCGGCAACGTCGCATGTGTCACCATCAATAGCACACAATGGCCTTATAAAATCTTCGATATAGCATTAATGCCCTCTATAAAATTGTATGACAAACTCAGATTTATGTGATGAGCCGGCAACGTCGCATGTGTCACCATAAATAACACACAATGGCATTATAAAATCTTCGATATAGCATTAATGCCCTCTATAAAATTGTATGACAAACTCCGATTTATGTGAGGATCCGGCAACGTCGCATGTCTAGCTACCGCACTTACAAAAAATGGCGCTTGACACTTGACATATGTGAACCGTGTTCGCCAAAGGATAGCACGTCCTTTCTTCAGTGTAAATGTTTTATGATTTGACAGGAATGAAAATTATTTTTACTTTTTTACCTTATTTAAATCTGCTGACGATTAATAAGGGTACCTCTCAAACTTCTTCAAGGATGAAATACATTATCACGATAGATATACACTGAGGCACTTCGTCTGAACCGAAAGACTGTAAACACTCGGCACCGGGTATCACTAGACTGTTGTTATCTGTTATTATATTATGCTATAAGCACAAAGTCTTGCTATGTTGTGGATTTCTGGTCTCTTCAGGAATTGATCTTTGGCACTAATTAGGTCTTACAATCATATTTGTCGTATTTAAGCTGATGATGACTTCTACAAATTGCTAACCGTCACACCCGATTGCACTACATAGTTGGGGGTAAAAGACAGGAATGAAAATTGTTTACCTCATTTAAATTTGCTGACGATTAATAAGGCTACCTTTCAAACCGCTCTCAAACGTCTTGAAAGATGAACTAAATTATCTATAGATACACTGCGGTACGTCGTCTGAACCGAAAAACACTCGGCACCACTAGACACTTGCAAGACACACTGCTATAAGCACAAAGTTTTGCTATATTGTGGACTTGTTGCCTTTTTAGGATGGATCCATATAAACGTTCATCTAAAATTATGCCACTCATTAGGGTTTACAATCATATTTATCGTATTGAAAGTGATGATGACTTTTGTAAACAAATCGCTAAACGTCAAAGCCTAAATGCTTAGCTGCCGGTAAAATTACATCGTTGCCAAGGCATACTTGATTATCATTATAATAATGGCTATAGTCCGGTCCGTTTAGACTATGAAATATAGAAATTTTGAATCTTTTCGAAAATGTTGATTTTCACGCGTAAAAAAGGAAAATTCTATTTGGCGTGATCCAATATTCGATGAAGCGACCAACATAAAGCCGAAAATGGCACGTTTCGGACGTTCCGCTCGCACTCGCTCGCTTTCGTAATACGATTATACCTACATTACCCCGCCTAACAGGAATCCGGGGATCTGGAGGGGAAATTCAAAATTGAAACTTCAAACTAAAAATATCTGCATATCTTTGAATTTTCTAATCTGCCGAGTTTAAAAAATACGATCGGGTAACGTGTCGTATGTCGGTTTAATCAGGAGACTTTGGTCTTTCGTTTTGCGAAAAAAAATCGTAGCTACGTCGCTCCGTAACGCAGGTCCGTATCGACGAAGACAAAGTACGCCGAAAAACGGCTGTCATCGGTACTTTTGAGGCGCTCAAAGTTTACTTTTTCGAAATTTGACGGTAATTCTAACGGTCAGAATCGTTTCCTCAGCTCATTATCGTTATATTTCGATAGCTGTATAATTTTTACTCGCTCACGTACGGTAGTAATAGGCGAACACAGAGTCGGATGACAAAGTGACTTTTTCGCGCGTCGAAAATTAGCGTGTTGTCGGGCAATTTTTAAAAAATCGAAACTTTCGAACGACAAGGGATAAAGGAAAAAAAAAGACGCTATCTTTGAGTCCGATGTCCGGGCTTTCTCACGCAAAAATCGTCAGGTTCGTAGCTCCTTTATCTTCGGAGGAGATAGAAAAAGCGCGTCGAACGGCACGAAAATCTACCGATTTTTCAACTTTACCGGCCATTTTCGATCGCGTTCGTTCCTCCTACCGCGACAACTCTCGCTCCATCGTAAAGCGCCGAGTTTCTAGTTTCCGAAACGGTATCGTTTTCCTTCCGAACGTTCCGCGAACCCGGAAAAAAACCGGAAAAATCGGAAAGTAGCGCGTAGTCGAGGAAATCAAAAAAATCGAAATTTTCGAACGAAAAGGCATAAAGAAAAAAAAAGAAAGCCGCTATCTTTGAGCCCGAAGCCGGGGCTTTCTCTGGCAAAAATCGCCAGGTTCGCAGCTCCTTTGTCTTCGGCGGAAACCTATGTTGAACGTCGGACAGAACGAAAATCTACCGGTTTTTTCGACTTTACCGGCCGTTTTCGATCCGATCCGTTCCTCTCACCGCGACGGCTCCCACTTCCCGGTAAAGCGCCGAGTTTCTAGTTTCCGAAACGGTATCGCTTTCCTTCCGAACGTTTCGCGAACCGGGAAAAAAAACGGAAAAACCGCGTCGACGTCATACGACAATTTCCGAACCCCTACCAATTATACCTATTACTACCAAATCGAACAAAAGATCAACGCTTAATATTATCGACTAGCGCAGTTTCTGGCATGCTAACGCTATGCCAAATATTGTACGTTGATGTGTTTATTTAAAACCTCACGTAGCGCAGTTGCTGGTATGCTAATGCAATGCTAGCGATAACTATCTCTAATCATTTTTTATCCTTTGGCATCTTTGATCTGGTATCTGGTATCAGGTATCTGGTATCTGGTATCTGGTATCCGGTATCCGGTGTCTGGTATCTGGTATCTGGTATCAGGTATCTGGTGTCTGGTATCTGGTATCTGGTATCCGGTATCCGGT